ATTCTTGTAGCTTAGTTATTAAATTGTTCCCAACTCAATTCACAAGTCTCTTTTCCCTTTACCCCTTTAATTCTTTCCCTCATCTCCAGGACACAGGAGAGTGAGCAAGCAGCTGTGTGGTATTTGTTTGCTGGTAGCTCAGTACAAAGCCCCAACACAAGAAGAGCCTATTGCAGGTACAGTGTAATCTCTATCCCATCCCTCTTTCAGAACAATTTTCATTGGTTTTTTTGCAGATACAGCTGCAGGCAACTGTACTAAAAATACATTAGGAGATTACTTTGAAAGAATTTCTCCACTATGTTAATTGTTGTGGCATTTTAAATACAGTTAAGAGTAAAAATTAGTACTATAACTTTGTTTATCTCTGAGTAAAAGGATATTTATTATCACTGTAAATAGATTCATGTGCTATTCTGGATTGGGCAGTTGCTGACTTCAGTGAATGCATTAGTGCAATCAGTGGTTGCTAACTGCCATAAAAATTGCTGACAAGGATCCTGAAATTGTGGTAGATTGTCTCTTTGAGGACACAAAACAGAGGGAAGTACATCACAGCAGTATTCTGTTTGATTACAGAAGACTGCCAGTATCTGTATTTATCTTGTCTCATGCAGATTATTCCAAGAAACAAGAATTAAAATACAAGAAGTCAAGACTTGCATGACTCTGCTTCTACAGGGGCAATGAGAAGAGTTTAAAGTCAAAGCTTTGTTCTGCATCTCGGTACTGAGGATAACATGACAAAAACCACCAAGCTTCTTAAAATAAATTTAATTTTATCCATTAGAAATAATATCCCCAATAGGTCCACCTTTCCACAATGGCTTAGATTTAAAACAACAAAGTTCACATTTTTTGAAATTAATAAACAGCTGAATAATTAATTTCAGTGTTAGATTCAGATGCTGGTCAACTGAATAAGAAAGCAAGTCAATATCAGGCAATCAGGAAGGAATAAAAATTATTTTCTATACTATCAGTTAATTTTTGGACCACTGATATAAGCACAGAACTTAACTTCAGAGTCAAATTAAATGGACAAAATACATGAAATCAGCTTATGATCTTCAACAGTTCCACAGATTCCAGCAGTATTTTAATGACTTTTGCTAAGTCTAAGGTAAGTCAAGCCAACCACCATAAAAAACAAATAATAAATGCTGTTAACTTGAATTGGGCATGTCCAGTTTCCTGATACACAGAATAATTCAGCATTGTAAACAAGCCTTCTAATCCAATCCATGAAAAACTGTTTACTTTATGGTTCGTGCTTTCAAATTTATGATTACGATAGTTTCATTGTGCTCAGCAGAAGCAGGCGTGTACCTGGACGTTTTTGCTTCGTGTTTTTTATAACGATGCCATTTTACGGATCATGTAGTTCAGAATGCCCCCGTTGTGGAAATAAGTGAGCTCCACGTCAGTGTCAAATCTCATGATGGCAAGAAAGGTTTTCCCAGTATCAAGCTGTTGGGGTCAAAGAAATTCATTCAAGCAGCAGAACCTTCCACGTTACATGACATCATAATAAAGTAAGGACTATTACAATAGTTTTGCCATCTTAAGAAATTGTGAGAGAAAGCTGAAGTGAACAGGCACTGGACCATTGGTATTTCTTTCCACACTAGACTACAGCCAGCTGCTTAAGAGGAAAGTGGTTTAAAACCAACCACAACAAACATGAGATAGAGTTTCCTTGCACTGCATTTGCTGCCTCATTTAGATTTATTGTTGATGTAAGCCTAGAGGCATGAAAGCTGCCCATCCTTTCAAGTGGTTGTACTAATTCTTAATGTTCTATATAGTCATTCTTCTGGCTTAGGTACAACAGTAATACCAATATCATTAGCTTTCTTTGAGGTTTAGTGTTGGGGAATCAGAAAAGTGCAAAGACAATTGCATGAACTGAATAAAACCACTGTGTTTTACTGAAGACTTCTCTAGTCAGGTACTTCCAGATAAATGCACAAAGTTTGTCTGTGAACAATAAGCTGAACAGCTCTTTGGGATCTATACCTTCCCTGTTTCAGGACAGTTAATAAGGCATATGTAAACAACTACTGTGAGAAACTAACCCAGGGGAACCACCTGCATTACATGAACATGCAATAAGTAGACTGTTTTGCTAACTGCAGTAAAAAAGCAGACTTTTATGCTATTAGGTTAAGTAAATCAGTTTTACATATGTTCCAATCAAGAATAAACCAAATTTTTATCGTAGATACTAATATTTTTCAAAAAAGAGCATAGTTTGGAGGCAAAGCTAGACAAAAAGCAGTCTTTCAAATACAGGGCCTGAAGTTTAACTAGATTTTATGCTGGGTATGCTTAGATTTCACTTTGAATGCTGCAGGGTACAATATTCTGCCTGTTGAATTGTCAATTATTTTAATTTTAAATTCATTTAAATATATTATTTTAACTTATTTAATTTAATACTTACAGTTCACTTTGTATTGTGCTTCAAACATTTAACTGAGACAGAAAAAAACTATAGTGAACTTTGAAAGACTGGTCCAAAATACAGGACAGTGTTGTGCTAAATGAAACAGTTTGGGTGTGCTGCCAAATGAAAGCACATTGTTTGAAGAGATGGTTAATCCTGAGGGAGATTATAGTGATTCAGAAAATTCAGCCCTTAGGTGTCTCATACCTTAATCTGGACATTCATCTGTGGTTTTAGCTGTTCAGGAATGATAATCGTGTAGCGCTCTCGTCCAGTGAGTCCTAAAGTCCCTGCATCCTCTCCAGGTAAATACTGCAGAGGAATCACTCCCATCCCTACTAGGTTGCTTCGATGAATTCTCTCATAGCTTTCAGCAAGCACAGCTTTAATACCCTGGGAAGTACAGAACAGGTATAGTTATCTTCATGGTTCAGGATAGTCTTTCTGTGCTTATAGGAAGGAAATTGGTACGATTGTGGTCTCCTCCGTTTCATTTACCAGCTACTGGTAGAGTCAGCAGGTCTGTCTGATAGCAGACTGTCCAGGATGACTTAATTACACGTTAACTTTCAAACATGTTTAAAAGAAGTCTGATTGCCAAAAAATTACATACGCTTTCTCAGGAATCCTGCATACTTCAAGTCTTATGTGGAGCACCACTAGTCATTTCTCTAACTCTTGCTAATTCAGTGTTGCCCTGCTATACTACAAGCTCCAGGCTGCAGTTTAATTAATTTCTTGACTTTTACATGTTAATACAGTTAATTAAAAAAAAAAAAAAAATCACCACTGGAAAAAACCCCCAAAACTTAGACAAACATAATCTTAAAACACCAACTCTCCTAAAACTTTGTTTAAAATACACACACTATTGCCTTCACAAATTCCACACCGAGAAAGCCTGAATCAGAGGTCAGGCTTGTAAATAGTGTAGGACAAGACAGACAAAGAACAAAACAGATATTTCACTGTATGTGGATTTCTGTTAGGCCCCTATAACAATACTCCTAAGCACCTCTGCAATCTGCATGGTGAAGCCATGCTAGATTTCATTTTCCTTGATGACTACTTTTCTCTTACACTTTTTATCTTCCCTGCAAAGTGAGCAGAAGGAGGTAGCTGGAAGCACACTCAAGGTTTACAGGGTTATGGGAAGCAGAAATAAAGAAACTGGCCTTTCTCGTGTAGCTTTGTGGATTTCTAGCTGAAGATCAGTCAAGGTTTCCAGTCTGAACAGGATCTATTAATATTTAAATAGCTTTTGCAACTCTGCTGTGGCCCTTGGAGGCAGCTGAGATTTCAAAATAGCTCTCGCTACCAGAAGTAAGAATGACCTACCCAGAATGTGCGTCATAAGCTAGACTTCCTAACAAATGAATGCACTTTTCAGTACTGTCCACCTTCTAGTTTACTGTAGTCACTCACCAAGAGGAATGGTCCTTTAGCTGCCCAGTCTCTGGAACTACCTGCACCATATTCCTTCCCAGCCAGCACAATCAGAGGATGGCCAGCCTGCTTGTATCTTTCAGCAGCATCAAACACATCCAGCTGGAATGAAAATGCCAAACATTTTATGCACTTTTTTTGGGGTGGAAGCACAGTTTCAGGGAAACAAAGAAAAAAGTGTCCCCACATAAAAAGCTGAAGCCTCACTTTCCACCAAGCAGCACTTTAAGGATATTAACCATAGAGTGCTTTGTCTCTTGTAGCCTGATCTCACTCCCAGGGCAAACCTGCACCTTCCACTACCACTTCCCACCATGGTTATACTGATATATACTGATACGCCTGATAGCACCATGTTATGTAAGTATGTGTGACCTGCTTCCCTAGGTCAATACAGCTCCTGTCCCCTCATTAACTTTACTTAAAAGGCACTTAAGTAAATGAGCTAAGCTGTAAGAAGGAAAGCCAGTACTAATCCACTCTGCTGTCAATGAGCCTCAGTGTAGAGCACCATGTGTACTTACAGTTTCCCCAGAAGGGAAATGGACAGTCTGAGGTCCTTGCTTATCAATAAATTTGTTCACCAAGCGAATGTTTGCAAATGTTCCTCTGGCCATGACAGCATCATTCCCTCTACGAGAGCCATAAGAATTGAACTCTCGAGGAGTCAAGCTATTAAGGGAAAAGAAAACAAAGAAAGAAAGGAAACTGTGGGGTTTTTTAGACTGAAACACTCTGTGTTTTAGAAAGTGATGAACTGGTGTTTGAGGCAGGTATGTACATAGTTCCCATCATGGCAGTAGCACCCAGTTAGCTGATACTTAATTTTTTGAAGGGAAAAAAAAAAAAAAGAAAAAAGAAAAAAAATACTAGTGTCCCTAGAGCTTGGTCACAGAAAGCAGCTTCCATAGTACTCTCATCCTTTCCCCTAGAAAACAGCATCTGATAGTGACACAAGGATATAACTCATGTTAGGTCAGAAGACGCAATACAACTTTTCTTAATAGCTGGCTACTGAAAATCCTCCTCATTATTTATATTACCATAGCATCTAGAACAAAGGTAGAGACACAACTGTGCTAAACATCTAAAAGGCAGAGAGACCCCCTGCCGCACATTAGAAGTACAGAAGAAAAAGTTCATTTGCAAATGGAGATATGGGAATGAGGGGACACTCCAGCCTAACCAGTAAACAAAAAATGTGTGGAATATGACAGAAAATTGGACTGTTTACATTGGGCTACATCCAAACAGGAGCTATGATATACAAAATGTTTTGTAATGTGTGCAGAACTATTTAGATTTCAAAGTGACTGACAACAGAGAGCCAAAGAGTTCAGTGCAATTACTTTTCAGTCAATCACACTACTTTCATAAATTTCCTCTCCAGAATTATGTCCAGTGAAAATATTTTTTTATAATGTCAGTGGTGTTCCTTAAAACACCACTGAAGTTTTAAGAAGTGCTAAACCAAAGAATAAAACTACTATATTATTTGTGAAGACTGAATAAGGCAACTCAACAAGTCCTAGTCATCCATTAAGCTGAACCCAGAGTACTACACTGACAGGCTGTCAACAGAAAAAGACCAACATTTTACAGCAGTTTGGACTCCAGCTACAATAGCTTTGCCAGTTTTTGCAGCTGCTCTGAAACCTGAACTTCTGGATCTGCTGTTGCTCCTGATAACCTAGATCTGTGAAATAGTTGCACATGCTAGAAGAAGTGAGTATAAAACCAGTTTTTGGCATTACATACCATGAGCATTTTGCTTCGATAGGGAGACAAATCCCAATTCCCTTATTTATTAATAGACTTACTGCAAAAACTAGCCTGAAAGTTATCTTCTTCCCCTCTCTCCATACAAAGGTCTTCAGCTCTCCAGTGTAATTGACGTGCACATTCCGTGCAAGTTCTTACACTTGGTGAGAGCTGCTGAAACAGCAGAGAAAGGAATACTTTTCTTTCTTCTTTTATATATTCTTCAGGCATCCATCAAGGTATATAAGCATATGTGAACAGACAGCAGATATGTCTTCCTGTAACACGGTACAGTAGTTGTGGCTTGTTTCCTCTTCCCAATTTATAACAAGAACAAGAAAGAGTGCTTACCCTCTGCTGGTCAAATAGCGGGCTGCAGGACTATTTCTTGCTATATTCCCAGCTGGAGATATGTGGTCAGTTGTCACAGAATCCCCAAAACTCAGCAGGACATAAGCATCTTCTATTGTTTTCGGGGTCTGAAGAGCTAAAGTCTAAACCATCACAAATACAAACAAAATCACTACAATGTGACAAAGAATTCCTTTACCTTTCTCAGAAGTGCAAACTGCAAAATAAAGTCTCCCTTTTTATACAAGTCAGAAGAAAGAAAAAAAAACCAACCCTATTAAAAATGTTTATGGTGAACAAAATATGATGTCATGCAAGTTCATGCATGAAGAAAATAGATGAGGCAAAAAAGTTAGCTGAGGCTTCCTGTGGTACGTGCATGAATGCAGACAAAAATCCAGGATTCTGAGACAACTGCATACATTGAAATCTGTATTTTATTTTAAATGGTACTGAAATAGCAATCTGAACAATTTGGCACAAAATACAGGCAGGCAGAATTGTGGGTTTCATTTCCTGTCCTTTTCCCTCACTTGCTTTGTGACTATTTAAAATTATTTCAGCTTAAAAGGAAAAGCAGACTTTTCAAAAGCCCTGATGTGACAGGGAATCCTTAGAATTTTCAGATTCACTCATGCCTTCGTATTAAAATGAATACAACAGTGCAATTCTAACATCTGAGAACCAAGGCCTCAGTGGGCTATGATGGGTGCTTCCAGGCCCCTTGAAGTGGCTTTGCTTCATCTTTAACATTAGTCAAGGTCACTACACACTTTGGCTTGATTCAAAGGGAAAGCCTGCACGTACCAGACCATCAAAGAAAGGTGGATTCTTGATGTAAGTTGACTTGGGATTCCAAGTATATAGTTTATCTGAAGGAGCATCTAAAGCATTCCAAGATTCGTTTACTGTCTGAAAAACACACAAAAACATCCCACTGAAGTTTTCAGAAGCAAGGGAATTACTTCAGAGTCCAGGTAAAATTACAAATTTGACTTCAGCAAAAGCCGTGTGTATTTCTTAAAGCACTTTGGGAAATTCTTGTGACAATATACATTATGTTTGGGTTTTCTTTAAATGATTCTATTAAAAAAGTGAGGAAAGCCCTCACTTCATTATGAAAGAAGAGCTACCCATCCAGTTCTCTGACAATACCGTGTGTTATGTACATAGACAACACTTCATAATTCTCAAGTGTATTTATGATTATTCATAAATAACATGTAAACCTTTGGAATATTTTGTTTCAACAACTGAGAAAAGCTTGCAGGAAGACATTACCAGATTTTTTTTCTGATGTGAATGCTATTAAGTAATGCAAATGAATTTTGTGTCAGCTGAAAAAAAAGAAACAAACATCTGTGAAGCTGGAATATCTCACTTTCTAATATCAACCTGGGATGACTGTTTAAAACAAATCATCTATATGTTAGATTAAAAAAACCACTGAAGAGCAATTTTCTGGACACACTCATCTGTAAGAACCAACTAATTAACTAAAAGCCATTCTTTAAAAAAGTATCTCATCTGAATACTTATCAGAACAGGAACAACAGCAACAGAAGGAAAAGGTTCATTTCATTATCAAGACCAGCTTATTTAACATCTTCAAAATAGCACAGTACATCAATCAAACTACCGCCCAGGGGACTAATTCACCTCTATTTTTTCATAGACCTCCTTGAACATCCCAGGAATAACAAACTGACGCTCAACAGCCTGAATCTCATTTCTTGATGGCCAGATATCTTTCAGGAAAATCTTCTTTCCTGAAGCATTTGTTCCTGTAGAAAATGGTATTGTTACGTTTGTTGCATAAATTTTCCATTAAGAAAGAACATAAAAGCTTACCAATGGTGTCCTTTAGCTACGTGTTCCTTCTAACCTTGTCAACACTCATGAGACTTCATTTCACCTGCAAGGGTCTGACAGAAGAAGGCCACCTAGACTTGATGAGGTCTGTACATACGCCTTCTCTTGTGGTTTCCAATGGCCTTCCAGAATAATTTATATAATAACTTAGGTTGGAAAGGATCTTTGAGGGTCGTCTAGCTGAAATACCTTCTCATAGAAAGTCTACTAGGTCAGGTACCTCATGAGAGACTGCCATCTGGATATAACCAAAAAGATGCCCCTGTGGAATTAGAATACTGGTCAGGCTTGGCCTTCCCTTTTCTCCATCACATAGACTCCTTGTTGCTCTGTTTCTTAACAATCACATGCTTTGTATCCCAGAAGTACTCAGTCATCTGAAGCATCTCCTTACGACAAACTATTCTGAAGAGCTTAATTCCAACCAGTTTAGTTTATATCCTGTGAAAAGCAGCATCCTCGCGCTGTCTTACCCAAAGGCTCTTTCTCAAAGTCGATCCGGACAGTCCCTGCAATTGCATAGGCTATTACCAGTGGTGGGGAGGCTAGGTAGTTAGCACGGGTGTTGGGATGGACACGCCCTTCGAAATTCCTATTGCCAGACAACACACCCACTGCTACAAGGTCTCCCTGCAAGACAGAGTTTGAGACAAAGGTAGCTGAGGTGCTTGCAGACCCCATGCACCCATCAGGTCTGCAGAGCTGCACTGTGCTGCAACATCAATGACTGGACAGTCACAGAACTGTCTCCTTCCAAACAATCCCAAAGCACTTCCCACAGAAAAGAGAATATAAGTTGAACGTACTTTGTACACAGCTGAGAAGAGTTAGTGCACAGTATAACACAGCTCAGAACAGCAAACAACAGAGAACAGCTTACCTAAATAAGCCGCATAGGAAAAGGTGCATACCTCTGTAATGGCCTCAACAACAGACTCTGGTAGGGGTCCGCTATTGCCAATACATGTCATACAGCCATAACCAACCACATCAAACCTAGACAGAACACAAAAATCATCAGTGAACAAAAAGCAATTTTGGAGAAAGACAACTTAGCAGTTGGCAAGGGTCACTTTCAGAAGATGTACTGTTTTAACAAATTAATTGTTGCCGAAACAGCATTTTTGAGAACGCTCAATTTTTATCATTGCAGTGACTGTTCATGCACACAAATGAAGATCTGGGAGATGTGTTATCTAGCAAAATGAACAACAATACAATGTCATTTATGTTATTTTAAAACCATTAGTCTTGAAAAATAACCCATTTTCCCGCTTCACAACATGAGTCTTCAAGAAGCTACAGCAGGCAACAGGCTTTCTCCCTCATTGTCAAAAAGTCAGCCAGCACAACAGCAATGTGTTAACTCATGCAGGATCATGCCATAGGGTACTTGCCATATCTTTTCAGCTGTACAGAGAAATAGTTATTCTATTGCATTGCTTGTTGTCAATGCTTTTAGTTAAGCAGCCACAGGACAACAGTAAGAAAAGCACTCTTACCCTAGTTGGGAAAGGTAACTCATAACTCCACTCTCCCTCAGATAGTAGGTGACAACCCCGCTTCCTGGGGACAGGCTAGTTTTAATGTATGGCTTCACTGTCAAACCAGCTTCAACAGCTTTTTTAGCAAGCAATCCTGAAAGATGCAAAGGATAGTTGCAGTTTTTCCTGGAAGTGGGACAGTTTGGTGGATCAACAGATTAACAGAGGTACCACTAAATAACTGGAAAACAAAAAAGGCTCAATTTCCAGCAATGAAATGGTACAGTGAGCCATCAGCACTTATGCCAGAGCTCAAGCTAGAGCTCAAGTGCTCTGTTCAACTGTAGATCCAGTCTGCAACTTCTGCTCCACTGGGAAGTTGCATTCAACAAGGTGCACTCACACTGGGGCAGCATGTAGACACTCAAAACGCAGAACACTACTTGTGAGACAAATGTCTCACAAAAAAAGTAATGAATTGTTAATTTCCCACTCATGGTGGTCTATTCATGCAGTGCTCAAATAACTGCCAACATATGACTTCTCGTCCTCAGAAGCAGATGGCTATGAGAACACCAGCTCTGGCCCTTGTCACAAACAAGCTATCTCACAATTCACAGCACGTTGCATGAGTTCTGTTTTATCACTTGTGGATTTGTAACGCACATAGCAAAGTTTTAGTGAAGCCTATGCGTTACCAGAAACATATTTATCCTGAATTGCTTCCTTTTAAACAAATCGTCTGTACATGGATAAATGTTCAGAAAACAAGCCCCCTCCAGCCCTTTCCCAGGATGGGCATAAGAGAAGCAACAGCTATGCAAACTATGCAAAACTTCACATTCCCATGCCTCATTCTCTCTCTCTCACACACACACACATATCCACTTATACACATCAGCTCTGATTTGATCCAACTCGACCTCTAACAGGAAGACATCAAACTGTTTTGTTTTTGCCAGCTGTTTGGCAGTTCTGGTAGATGTGACCTGGAGACCTCCACTTTTAAGTGTTCTGTGAGAAGGCCTACACTGATAGATTTGGAGGCCTAAAGGTAGATACGTCAATTTTAAAACACAGTCCTACTCCTGAAATTGCTGAGGACTCTCAGCTGCCGGGGAAAACTCTGGAAAATTGAGATCTTGGATGCTTTTGAAAATGTGACCATGAACAAACGCTCATCCTAGGACCTGAGAGCCTGATAGCCTGTTACAAATTGTTGGCTTCTGTTTTCCTGCCAGTACCAGTTCTGAAAAGAATGCAAAGTCAAACTCTAAAAACTGTCAAGGAAACGCCAGAACTGAAGTTGCTTTGAGCAACCTTAATCTAACACCTTTGTAAAGTCAGATTAGGCTATCAAGGCTACTACAGCACACACTCACGATCCTCACAGACACACAGTCCCTGCACATCATATGCAGTGTCAGTTTGAAAAAACTACTCACATTTTGGATTTCTTTTAACTGCTTACTTAGTATGGGAGCACTGCACATTTTCTTTGCTTTCATTTCAAACCCTACTCTGAAAGACAATTTACCAAGTTTCTTGGGGGTATCTCAGAGGTTCTCAACATTGTGTACAAACAGTTACCCAGGACTGACAGAATTACTTTTTCTCTCCTTGTTGAGGTCAAAGCCTAAGTGCCACTGTATAGAAAGGCAGCAAAGGTAAGAGTACCCACTAAATCTGAGTGCATATGCTGAGATCCTTAGGATAACGCTCCCAGAACCACACAGGAACAAAGGAGACAAGTTACGTGACTTCAACCAGTAAGTAATCCTCTCTGGTCAAGGGCGCTTGCATTGCCCACAGCACACCCTTCCAACCTTTGCAGAAAATAAGCCTGCATCCTACAGTCTGACAAGACTAGGAAGCTCTAATGCAGTGACGATCTTACAGTAACAGGTAAGATCTATGTATATGTTTGCAAAGGAGAGAAAGAAATACATGAGCATGTAGCCAAGCACCTGGGAAAGAGGGCTGAACTGGGCTAGTATAGACTGAACCCTTCGTTCACATTTTGTTGCCAGGAGTACACACTTGGAATGAGGAACTTCCTGCCCAGACTAGCCAGGTTAAAAATTAACAACCTCCTGACCTGAAATTTAACACAACCAACTCAGACTACTGTTTTGTAGTATTTCAATGGTGACAAGCAAGAAAGTGGGGATACAAAGCCCAACTCTGACCATTTGATGGATGAAGTTAAGATGTAAATGACAAAGCCCTGAAAGATGGCAATACCAGAGAACACAATTTTCCTTCTCTACTCACCCCCCACATTCCCTCAGACTCTTGCTGTAACAACTGGATACGCTTCTAGCTAAGAGTATGTTTTGTAGTCTGCTGCCACATCCAGAGCACCTTCAGACTTAAACCCATAGACCGTTCTTCACTGTCCCTCTTTTTGTGGCTCTCACTTTTGATAGCCTCTTCTCAACTCTACTTAACAGCTACTGTGCATTTGAACAGAAGGTCAGAGGTGCTGGTTAATTCAGTTCCAGTTTGTCCTGTAGAGAAGATAGTGTAGGAAAAACACATTTTCTTCAACCCACATTTCTAGCTATCATTTCCAGAATTGCTTCTGCAACCCTTTAGGGACTAAACTCAGTTTTAGCACTTCAAATTACAAAAACAGCACTGTGCATATAGAATTACATCAGTGTTGTGTCTGTCTTTAGGACACACTGCCAGCACCACAAAGACACTACTGGCACATTAAACAAATAAACTTACCTGCTCCCAGCATAACTGAAGGGTTACTGGTGTTTGTACAGCTTGTAATGGCAGCAATCACTACTGAACCATGAGCAAGCTCAAAGTCACAGCCCTCAAAGTTAAATTTGACTATGCTGTTGTGTCGGTCTGGAGCAATTTGGAATCCCTTAAATCCTTGCTGTAAGAGGAGAAAGTAAGAATCAAAAGGATGTGGTTAATATACATATTTTGACTGGAAATTAGTATGGGCTGGGAATTTCACAGATGAAAACTATCTGTCTTGCACTTTTAGGTCTGGTGGTGAAGGCTTGTACCTCTGGTCAAAGTGGCAGACGAAACTCTGGGTTCTATCCTATTCTCGGTTTACTGGTAAAAGAGGCAGCCTTTCCAGAAAAATGTATTTGTGTTTTCTTCCTACATGAATATATACATGAAATACGTGAAGGGTGAGTGTCAGGAGGATGGAGCCAGGTTCTTCTCTGTGACATCTAGTGATAGGACAAGGGGCAATGGGTTCAAGCTGGAAGATAGGAGGTTCCACTTGAATATGAGGAAAAACTTCTTTACAGTGAGGGTGACAGAGCACTGGAACAGGCTGCCCAGAGAGGTTGTGGAGTCTCCTTCTCTGGAGACATTCAAAGCCCGCCTGGATGCATTCCTGTGTGATCTCATCTAGGTGTCCTGCTCCGGCAGGGGGATTGGACTAGATGATCTTTCGAGGTCCCTTCCAATCTCTAACATTCTGTGTTTCTGTGATCTTTCTTCAGATTGCTTAGATGCTGTTGATCCCATGTACTCCAGATTCTTGACCACATATAGTCTTCTTACACAATCTAGTCCTGAGATTTTAGCCATAATACACAAGATTTTTAAGCCGTGAATATCAAACAGCTCAAACTTATACTAAGAGCTGACCTGAGAGAAAAAAGCCTGATGGCTGAAAAAAAAAAAGAGACGAGCAAGGCACTGTTCACACCCTGAAAACTTACGCTTAGGGATCTGAAAGCACAAGGTCATTTAACAAAGTTTGGAACACGTAACAAAACAAGAATTATTGGGAAATGCTGTAGATTAAATGTCTTGATTTACATCACTGGAGTTCCGTACAGCGTTTAACAAGGGCAGTTACCATATCAGGTAAGGATTCAAACTGATTTTGGAAACGTTAGTGTCTGGGCATATTAATTCAAACGAAAATCTTGCTCTTTTTTCAATTACCATTTTTGACTGGATGATGTAGAGGTCTTGTTTTGGTTTTTTTTTTTCTATCTTCACCAACAACATCAAAGAGTCACAGAAACACACAAAGTTTTGACTTGCTGAACAGATTCAGTACTGAATGCAAAACTACCTTGTGGAGCTTCGGGCATAACCTGCTTCAAAAGCTGAAGAGCTGGGGAGTTAGGACAGAGCTCAGTGCAGTAGCTACTTGGTCCACTCTACTAACAACACCCATTATGGCTAGTTCAGAAATCCCTAGTGTACGTTGAAACCACATTAGGCCTAAGATTGATCTAAAATCAGAAAGAACTACTACTTCAACAGGACATGAACACCTTCATGTGAGATAAGCATCATTCCCATTTCAAGCTACTCACTGTTGTTATCATCTTCTAAACTGCACTCCAACATCTTCGTTTACTTTTCAATAGACAAACAAACATCACACAAGTTAACCCCAGAATGTAGTTCCTGAACACTAGACAACTTCTAGAAGCATGCATTAGTTTGTATGCCCAAATATTCCTAGTCCCTACCTTGGCTCCCAGGCAAGTCTCAAAGTCCTTCTTCATATCTGACACAGCAACCTTGTCCTGAGGTCTTTTTGGTCCACTGCAGCAAGGCACGACAGTATGGAGATCCAACTCAACAACCTATTCAGTAAGAGGAACAGAGAGTGGTTCAGCACTGCATGACAAGTTGAAGACAGTTAAGCCACAGGTATGCTTACCTCTACTGTTGAACCAAGTCTAAGTCTGCACATCTTTATGTCTGTTTGCAGAAATTATCAGAGATATACGAGAAGCGAAAGACAGAAGAAAAGGAACAGTTCTACTTTTAGACCCTGCCAGCATCCAGGTATGGCTCTTAAAAGTACCCCAGTTACTGAATACCCATTGTGTGACTACAGCATCTAAAAAAAAAAGATGATTTTGAGAATTATATCCTTTCACATGCTAGCAGCAGGGTCCTCTCAGAAAACAATGATGTGAAGAAATCCTGGTACTGACATAAAGCAAAGCAGACTATTCATCTTGGCTTTGGGGAAAATGTTCAGTCTATTATGAAACAGAGACGATCATATTTTCCTGTTCCTCACCCATGTTTCAAATTTGTTTTCATAGTGTGCTGCATCTTTCTGTATTTACTAAGGCTTTTAAATAATCATGCAAACTTGAACTTAAGTTACACAATAAATTCTTACTGTAGAGAAAACCAGGAACATTCTTGAGTTTCCTGGACACAGAGTAAGATCTTGATTTTCTCGCATAGAAAATGGCTTTTGTCGTCTATGGTTACCACACAGAGATTCTAAATGTCCTGATTCACACATTAAAATAAGTTGCTGAATAGAAGAAGGGTAAAACTGGGACAAGGCTTACACAGACAATACCCACACTATCTTCATAGCTGTGTTTTGAGTCTGGACTGAACTTCTCAAAATTACATAGATGGAACTGCAGAATCTGCACCAGGCAAAGCTCAACTGAGAGCCTACCTATACCTTCTGCACAAGTTTTCACACCTGGAGAGCCAGCTGGTTGTTCCACTTGGCCCTAAATTAAGACAGCTGTGTGGGCCAAGCCAAAGGATAAAGAGTCCCTGACTATTTCTTGGTTTCCGTGAAAAACAGACAATTGTGACATTAAAATAGGGGAGAGCATTAAGCAAGGAGCCAGAAAACAGAGTAGTTTCTAACCTGTGTGAAGTCTGGATCCTGAGAGGAGTTCTTGAAATCTCTTAGCATTCCCACAGCCTTGAGATACTTTTTTGTGCACATAACTTTCTCTTTATCACGGCCTAAGGTGAAAGCCAGACATATCAAAAACAAAATGCAAATGAAATTGATGAACTACTATGTGACAGAAAAAGAAAAAAAATGTGTAACAGGCTATTTCACTGTTCACACTGTACATTGCACTACAAGACCCTTTCAGCACAAGTATTAGAGACTCACTAGAAACAAAGTGATTGAGCAGACTTAGTGGCTTTTGCAGAACAAAAACGTAGGTTCCTGCTTCCCTATTCTGAACAAGCTAGGCTCAGGAATGGCTAAGCAGACAGTTAGCTACAAAACAGTCTAAAATTTGTATCTTCCTGAACATGGACCCTAAGAGCAAGAAATAGCATGAATAAGCACTCAAGCTCAGAAGGCTCCACCTGATTCAACCCCGTTCCTGACTGCATGTGGTGGGTTAGCCCTTGGCTCGG